TATTATTATTTTTATTGTCATTGTTATTATTATTACTATTTTCAGCATTATTATCATCATCATCATCATCACTATTTTCAGCATTATTATCATTTTTATTATTATCATATTCCAGGAACAAGCCCAGGGATGGGTTCGTGCGTGGTGGCAGACACTGTCAACACCAGGCCGAACACCCCGAGCGGAGAATTTTCCACAGTGTTCACGGAGGCCGGAGAGAACTGTTACGTCACACCCCAGGCCACCTCCATGCAGGACGGGAGCGGCGTGGTAGCTTTCACGGTGGCGGCCTGGGTCTGGCTGGACTCGGAGTCGTTAGGGTAAGATTCTGATGCTGTTTCTGTTGTTTGGCGTCTGTAGCCTTCAAGTGGTTAGGAGACCAGATTCGTAATCGTGAGGTTGCGGGTTCGGGGGTTCGAGCTTCAGCTCGGTCCGACGTTGTGTCCATGGGAAAGGCACTTTACACGAAATTCATATTATATATAATGTACCATATATATGATAAAAATATTAATATTAAAATATATCTTTTGGCTGGGTCCTTTCGGAGATGGAAGTTAAACTCGGAGGTCCCGCCTCTTAAATGACCTAATAGCGTTGATGGGGCGTTAAACCCATACCATTCCAATACCATAGTTTCTGTTGTCTTTTTGTTCTGTTATTTCCCAGTTTTAGCCATTGTGGTATAGTCACGAACTGGAAATTGTGAGGGTGGCAATTTTGATAGCTTGTGGACTCATAACTTCACAATTTGTTTGATTTGTTGTTTATAGTTATATTTGTTGAATGGGAAATCTAACAACAATAATCAACTAACAGTTGAGCAGAAATACAGTTATGAGTCAACATGCGTTCAAAATTGATACCCTAACGATTTTCGGTTTGTGACTATTCCCGTTTTTTATCGTGGATTCCTCGTATGTTTTCCAGGAAGTTGAGACTGATTCAGAATGCTATCAGGTTTGCTGGGGGTAAAGCGCACACAGCTTGCTGTGGGGCGACAATTTTGCGCTATACAGAGGCTATCTATTATTTCTTTTCTGCTATTTCTTCTATTATAAAAGTAATTATTTTATTTACGGATACTATTTTATAGATCACTCCAAGGGGAAGG